ACCCCGGGGAAGGAGAGCAAGCCCCTTGCTAGGGGAAGTCTGCAGGCCTTCCAAGGACACTATCCTACTAAGCAGCCTTCAGATCCCACCTGCAATAGTTTTTTAAAATTATTTATTGCTGTAGTTATAAATTAGAGATGAATAGGAGACCCCTGGGCTCTCTTTTGGATGTGGTCCTTATTAATGAATTTCAAGCATTTTCTGCTGCAAGGGGCAATTTTTTGAGACGAGAACAGCGTGTGTTACACTCAGCACTTTATCAAGTTTTGCTCCCTTTTCAGTCTCAGATGGGAGGGGGGGGGGGGGGGGGGGGGGGGTCGGGAAGCGAAGGAAAGGGCAGCAAGTGAATCGACTACTTACCTTTCTTACCTGCCTTTGCTTCCAATTTAATCAGTAGGAAAAAAGAAAAGAAAAGCTGCTATTTTGGGTTATTTTTAGCTTACAGGTGTCAGATTGACTTCCACTCACAAGGCGTCAAGCTACATCTTTATCCGCCATTACAATAAAGTGCCCAGAGTACTTGTGCAGTCATTTGGTGACATTAAAAACCGCATCATGTCATTTCCACACCCCGTGCACGTGAGTGAAGCCATTTGTCCTGTTCTTCCCAGTTGAGTATTTGGGCTGCACATCCAGGATAGCTGACTGGCAGCACCACCCCTCTCCTGTCACATGAACGCAAGCAGTGCCCGTGGGTGCCAACACCCACGTACTTGTGAAAGAACGTGGACATGCACATACACCCTCCCCCCACACAACACTTGTGCACGTATGCATCTCCATGAATGTCTAACTGTACGCACAAAAGTAGATGCACAAATGTGCACACCCCCAACCAATGCGCGCGCACACGCATGCAAAAGCGCACATGCACACACACACACACACACACACACACACAGTCTGCTGCACTCATCCGGGAACATCGGAGACGAGAGCTTTTGCTCATTTTTTTTTTAATGTATCACAATGAGCAGGAAACATACTTGATGAAATATTTTCAAAGGAGTATATTCAATTACCATCTACAATCAACTTAACTATGACAACAAAGTTTTTGTGACAAATTTTTTTTAAAGTTTTGAAAGTTCCATGTGGTTTCTGTTTCTGTTAGTCTCCATGTATTTTGGTACAGTTCGAGATCAGCATTGTTACAGTAACAAAAAAAGCTAACAAGACTACATTATAGAAAAACACCAAGAACATCATTTTTGGTTTCACTTGCTCTATTTTTTTTGTACATTGCAAAGGCTGTTCATATACCTCTTCACCTCATTTATGCTTTCTGTTCTACCCAAACTTGCCCCCCCAAAATAAAACAAACAAAAAAATAGTCAAAGCTTTGTGTTTCACAGTGGGCAGTATCTCAGCGCCAACAAACCAACCAACCAACCAACCCAATTTCTGCTTCTAGTTAAAGTGTTTAATTTCTTTTTATTTAAAAAAGCAAAATATATTTCCATGAACATCAAGTGTGCTGGCTTGTGTTAATGCGTCTCTCTTGCCTGCGTCTTCCTTTCCTGCCTGCTGA